AATAAAAATGCAAGCTTTGCCGCAGGAAAAGTTATTTTCACAACTGGCAATGAATGATGGAATCCTTCAACTATTCCAAAGGGATCTCAACTTAATTTTTATTTTTCAGTATGGCAAGTTTCGCGGACAGTAGTATGTCGATTCTTTCTGTTGGGTAGTGTTCGAAGCAAGGCGCGCTTACTACCTAATTACTCGTTTGGGTCATTCTCCCTGGGTAGACAGGGAAACATCGGTGGATTTTCGAAGAGTACAAGTTAGACCACTGCAAAGCTGCTGACTCGCGTATATACTTTTAACAGTTAAAGTTTACGAGGTTATAATTTTCGCTAGTGTCACTAAATAAAGCTACGCTTTATTTAGCGACTCTAATCTTCGCGCATCTCAAGAACTGAATAAGTAGCGCAATTCAGGGACACGCAAAAATTCCGCCTTTCATCCCTGATACAAACTGTTTTCACTTGATCAGCGGACTAAAATTGTTATGTTTGTTTGAAAAGTCGCTGAAAGTTTCCAAAATGAGCTCAAGAGCAGGGAATTCCCACCTCGAGTATTACAGATGAGTCACTACCACTGCTAGAGAATATTTTTGTACAAAAAAAAAAAAAAAGTTACAAAGTTTGAGAAGACAAAAGGAACAAAACGCTTTATTTTTACCTCAGCAAAATTTCTAACCGTATATACATAACAATGTGAGAATCATCTGCAGAAATACCACTGTCGCACAAAAATGCAATATGAGTAACGGCATTGGCAAACTAAGTATATACAGTTTGTGCCGAAAGAAAACCCGACATCTGTTGTAGTTAATACTATTTTACCTTATGGCCAGCTGGCAGTAATACAGGACAGATAAAACAACTCGAAGCAATGCATAGCCCTCCGGTGACTCAATTTTGTGAAACTGCTTAAAGGCCGACGACCAGTTCGCGCTTTCCACTTTTGCCTCGCTTTCTCCTCTCCCCCGTTCTACCCTGTCCACCGTTGCCTGTTTCTTCCTCCGCCATGGTGAGGAGAATCTTCTGCCTTGCAGAGTCTCGAGTTTGGTCGTCGGCCTTTAAAGACGTTTCACAAGATTGTCAGGATCATGATAATGTAATAGGGTTCACCAACAAAAGCAAGAAAAAAAAAGCAAAGTTCTATCTCTGGCAAATTGGACATCAGACACACATAAACTATAGCTATTCAACCTCCTGTGCTTTGAACTAAGCTTGCAAAGCCATACATTGTACATAAACACAAATGGGATGTATTAATATAAAAACCGTTTGAGAGTTATCGAGCTCAGACGAGCTAAATATGACGATTCTTGAAAAACAAAACAACCCTTTTCCACCTTCTGCATGATATAAATTGACACAAAAGTCTTTCAATCCAGCTCCTAGAAGATGACAATTGTGCAATGTTTTTAAAGGGATACTTCAACGAAATTTGAAATATTCCCGTCGTGTTCAAAAATAGGTTGAATATGATCCACAATAGCCGTAAAAGATAATTGCACGTTTGTATTTTGAACCTGGTGGCTGTATTTTTCGTTATAAACGGCCCAATCTGGCAAGCGCTCGAAGAAGGCCCAGCGGAGACCACGTGACATCCACTCAATCGTGACTTAGGTCGTCTCAAGACGAGCAAAGCTACGGCGAGGCTGACGTCGAGAGGATGGCCTAGTCGCTCCAGCCACCAGAGCGGCTGCTTTTGTACGAATTTTGAGTGACGGGTTAATCTTCTATAATCTTGTAGGGGGACAATAGCGACCTCTCTGACACACAAAAGGCATTCTCGGGAAGAGGGGAGTTCCTCCTTCCCCTCTTCTTTCGTCGTGGCCGGAGGCGAGACAACCTCCGTCACTAGCTGTCAAGGTTCCTAGACGAGCATTACAAACGAGGCGTTAGCGATATCCACCAGGTGCTCTTTGCTAATTGTTTAATTCGTTTTAAAATACCGTTTCGAGACTTTTTTAACAAGATATCGGTATGTTCGATCTGATACTGCTCCTTTGAACACATATAGACCAAAAAATGAGCGCCGAAATTTCGTTGTAGTATCCCTTTAAGGCCCCGATTGTATGTAACACGCGGTCGTAAATATGTGCTTTTAACTTTTTCGCTAAAATTTTAAGGTCGCAGATAATTCTACAAGTTATCACAATAGAGTTAATACAGCTGGTATGTTGCTACAAACAATTCTAAGCCTCAGTACCACAATGCTCAGCGGATTAGAGAAACAGCTGCTCTCATCCCAACACTTTTCGACCCACATTTTGACTTGACGGCCTTTGCCTTGCTGCTTAGCTTTCGGAGGGTGATCCGCAATCGGAGCATCAAGAAAGCTGTGGTCAGATGCTTCTCCAGATCATGGCAGCGAGGAAACTCATCTGGAAGTTGGTGAGATTCCAAAGTCGCTTTGATCAGGGAGGCAAGTGAAATGTTCACCACGTTGTGCTCACAACTGCGGAACACCTTGTCCACATGCTGCAGCAGGTTGAACACATGGCGTGATGGACGGACCAGGGGATTTGGCTGAGATTGAGATCGGTAGGACTTCAATTTTAAAAGGCTATCACTCTGCTCCACTGGGTCAGTCTGAAGGAACTCCTTGCACAAGTCACAAAGCTTGTATTTTTTACACACGCTATGGGTGATATACCCCGACAGATACACAAGAGACTCTGTCTCCACCTCGTCAATATCTGGAACTCCATCCTCTAGGAAGCTGTCCTCAAAAAAGAAGTCGTCTCCTGCACCAATGTTCTTTTTTGAGGCAGACTTCTTGATTTCAATAAATTCAAGTAGGTCGGCGCTGTCGTCAATTGCATAGCTCCCTTTGCGGCTTGGTCTGAAAAACTGACTCAGCATAATCAGCCGCAGTGTGAGTTTGAATTCGAGGGCCCTAGGCACCGGATTTCTTGAGCGAACGCACGAGAAAAGGTTTTCTAGAGCGTCTTGGGTGAGCCGACCCAGCAAGACGAACTTGAACTTGTGAATGCTTAGAAGCTGGTGCTGGATAGAAAGGGCACTTGATGTGGATACAAGCACACCAGCTTGTACAGGCTTGAAACACGGCCCCTGGTTTTTTTTCCTTATAGAAAGGCGGGAGAAGATGGTAACGAACTCTTCAAGGAAAGCGACTGCTTGGTCATGCGAGCCCGGCTTGAACAGGCTCATAGCCAGACTTGTACGTAATCCGTTACAAGTAACGAAATTACTTGTAATCCCTTACATCTATCGGTAATTTAGTAACGGAATAATTACATATTTTCTAGAGTAATTTTAAAGTAATTCCCTTACATTTTTGACGTAACGGATTCCTTGTAATCCGTTACATTTTTTTTTGTCAAAAGCACCCCCCCCCCCCAATTCCAAATAAAGCTTTTTTTGTTTTGTTTTTCATTTTTGTAAAGTCGATCGCAGAGACACTGTCACACGAATCGACCAGCGCAAAGGGAGGCTTGGCACTCCTCAGTTCCGCAAAACCTTTTTTTGCAACACCAAGCCCCTGAATGTATCTTTTTGTTTTAGACCCTAACATCAATGTCAAAAAATCCCAATAAACAATTCTACAAATAAAAAAAAAAAGGGGGGGGGGGGGTGGGGGCAAGTCATTTTCGCTTTTTTTTTTAGTTCCTTTGTTTTTTCTTTGCGATCGAAGACGGGGAGAGGAGGACACCAAGTGATTGTGCGCCTCTTCGGGAAGCTCGAGGCGGTGAGTGCACTGAAAAGAATTAACAATGTCCTTCTCGGTTATAGTGACTAGGACCATTTTTATAATATCACAACACGAGACAACGCTCCATCTACCCTACCCTCTTTGTGAGTCAGCTTTCTGCGAGCACTCATAAAATGGTAATTGTCTTCCTTTTTTCTTCGTCCTGTTTTGCCCCAGCAGGACGCATCTTATCTCAAGCAGATATTTTTACAAATAAAACATAATAATGACTGACGTAGACTCGATATTCTAGGCTTGAGGAGAGAGAAAAATTCGTGAGTGGGGCCATAGCGCGCTTACTTAGTACTCTACCCTTTGCTGCCCGTGGCATCAGCGGACGTCTATCTGGAGAACACCGGAGTAAACTGCAGTCGGTCCGTGCTCCGTGTGTTTTTGAACGGCACCAAGAAAGGTACACACGGCAAACGTGCGTTTACATTTCCTTGTTTTAACCGACGTTCTAATTAATTGTTGTTATGAGTGTCCTTCTTTTTCTTTTATTACTTATATATATATACTGGAAATTTTTTTTTTTTGATTCACTAACGTCTCAAGTGAGGCTCGAACTGTTCAGAACCAAAGGAAGAAGAATATCGAGCCAAACCTTATTTATTATTTGATTATCCCCTTACTGTTACAACTATGTTTTGCTGTTGATGACTTTTTCAGCTTCGCGATTTAGACAACGGATAATTTTAGTAGATCGGTCCTATGACTCCGATAATGATATCCGATACTTCACCGCCGTCTTTGCGTATGCATCATATCGTTATCGGGTACCGTTATCCCGGGTATCTGAATTATCTACTAAATCTCTCGAATAGCAGGCAACCGCTGCAACGACGAAGCTTTGCTCTACATTCGAGGTAAATAGTACTTCCCTTGCTTCGCTGAAGAAGCTCAATGCAGAGCATGAAGCATTCGTGAGGAACAATATGGCACTCCCATCCAGTGCCTCAGCTCAAATGGTGTTGAGCGTAGCAGTCGACATATTGAGTAAGACAAAACGCAAAATGTCTGACGAAACTTTCGAGAGCCAGCTGTTGCTCAAAATACTCAAGGTCCTTAAATGGAACAGGTGGCAACAATAAGAACTTGAATAACCCTCTTCCCTTTGTTTCTTACTTGAGTGAAATAATGTTAAAAGTAACGCCACGAAAGTAACGGATTACTTTTTGGGGTAACGGTCAGTTACTTTCATGGGAGGGTAATTGTAATTGTAATAAATTACAATATAGCCTCGAGTAATTGTAAATGTAATTCCTTACTATTTTTCAGTAACGTGTACAAGTCTGCTCTTAGCCATACTGATTCCTCGTGACGTCATTAGGGAAAACCACCGGAACACCTGTTCCACAAACCAAGCTGTGGTTAGGGCTTCCGAGGGAAGTTGTCCTAGGCACACAAGTACGCGGATGGCAGCTCCCACACTGTGGTTTAAGACAGCCACTGCTGAAGACACGTTCATTTTTTCAAAGTGCCTTGGATCCAGGTAGCTCGGCTTCAGGTGAGGCGCCAGCTTTAAAGGAGCTGTGCAACGATATTCAATTGGAATGTTTTTCTCTCTACACGAGCTTACTGGCACACCTGGGACTCAAGGATACTCACACGCAACGCCACTGGCCAAGAAACTTCTTTGTTGCGGTGTAATTTCAAGGACAAAAGCGATCATTTTCATTCAATCTCTCCTTCGCAAAATTCGATGACGTAACTCGGGGATCGCAGTACACCCAAGTGACGATATTTGAATGCGGCTCATAGATTGGACCCGAGCATTGCGTGGGCACTCGACTTGGGCTCGTGACAATTGCTATCTCGAGGAGCATTCGGGTTGTAACCCGTGTCCAATCGCTGCAACGACGACAATAGCCGAGCCATAACAATGTCTGGAACTCAGCGCGTGTCCTGCGCTTTGCCAACCCCAGCGCGTGGCTGTGATCAACATTGGCGGCATATAATCGGCTCCAGATCACGTGGCCGCTTGTTCTGGCTGCGAGTTGAGGGGGTGAATGCTGCTCGTTTTTCTTAAATTTTTTTCTGGGACTTCTATTGCGTGAGGTGAAAAACGAACGCGTGTTTCATAGGTCATTAACGTTAGGGATCTGTTTTACGCGGTATTTGTGCAAAGTACAAAAATTGTTGCATTGCTCCTTTAAGTCTCGTGCTGCATCGATTTCAGCAAGGGCCTTGATGTGCACCACCGATACCTAACAAAGACAAAAAAGAATAGAAAATTAATAAATGATGGACTGCTGGTGGACCAAAGTTCAAATAAATATGCTTAATTTATTGCTCAAAGGAATTGACAACTTGGAACGTACACCCACTAAATACATACATTCGAAGGAGTTAATAGCTCGGGTGTTATTTTTCAGTGTGCATGGCAAAACATACGGCATTTGACCGGAAGAACCCGTTTTCTTATGGCAATTTTTGATCCTGCCTTACTATACTAACATTGCTTTTGCCATTGGTGAATGTAATGAGACAGTTACGAAAGCTGGTTGTAGCTCAGGCTGTTTTTATGCAATTAAGAAACAGCCAGCATCACTTCAGTTTGCTCATCTTCGTGCCCTCAAGTAGGAGAAAGTTTATCGCAAATTTTGTGACAGCACGTAATTGGTGATTAGAAGTCTAATGATTTATGAATTACTGCAAAGGGTTCAGCAGATACAGCGCACTAAAGATTACTTTGCAAACATGCGTATATAGTACTTGTTTAAAATGTATGAATTTGACTCTTCTGCTCACTTCATTGGTTGGAAGGCCGTACTTGGCCACGATGTCATCTGGCAAGAAGATCGATTGTCCCCTGACCAGGTGACCCCTGATGTTCTTTAGCACATGGGGTGCATCAGCCAGGAAGTACAGCTGTCGGTTGGTGTCGGCTGCGCAGGGGTGGTTGCAGGAGACTACAGGCGTTGCTGACCGTTTGGCGGAAATGCCACATTTCTTCCACAGTGCCTTGTTGCTCGGCCCCATATCCGAAATCACAGCGTCCACATAACAGCCTGCATCTTCACATTTCTTGATGACCGAGAAGACGAGGTCCTTCAGGAATGCACCGTCAATGGAGTCCCCTGGCGAGCAAGATAGTGTTAGATAAGACATTAATACAGAGCACTTACTGAAATATCCAATCAAATCAGCATGTGGATTATAAGTATACAAGCATAAGCAAGTATATAAGCATAGAGTAGTCAGGGTGGGAACCGCTGCACCGATTGGGCCATTCTGCGCCAGAAGCATTTGCCTGTGCCATTCTGTGCCAGTGACTGCAAACTGCGCCACAACCATTTACTTGTGCCATAGCGCGCCAAACACTAAACCCTGCGCCAAAAAATGCATTTCCTTTAGTTTCAATTTCTACCGACTGACAATACGGTTGTCGGTTGGCAATGGTGAGCATGTCTGGCTTGGCTGGATTTGCTATTTTGGTATAGAGTGACTGTTGCCGTTTTGTCTTTCTGGTTTTTGTTGGGTGTCTGTTGTTGCAGTTTCTTAAAGTAGCGTTCGATGGTGTCATGTCCCTGCACCATGTAAACTGCGCTCTACGCTTCCAAGCTCTAAGCGTGCGGAAAACTCCTTGGTTGGGCGTCGGGTTTAATACCCACAACCACCTGGCTTGACAGGTATGTCGAGAATCCTATCCGAAAGTTCTTTGCCCAGGCCAGCTGTTTGGTGTGCTTCAAATTCGTTTGCTTATGCTGCTAGTTCTTGTTACAACAAAAGCAATCGCTTCAATTATTATGGTCTGCCATCTGCAATATAATCTTGTTTGAAAAATATCATGAACTGGAGCTGCACGTGCATCGGATATGAGTGATGCGCATCATGCAACCTGTAAGCAGCAGCTGAGTTTGAGCGGTCAGCCTAGTAACTGCGGTGAGCTCGGTTGTGGCTGAGTTACCAAAATCGGTACTTTCAACGCCCTGTAACAAGCTACTTTGATAGAGTTGGTTGCCCTATTTCGTGCGAAGCACGGATGCCTCTGTGACTCGCGGTCGCATCTTGACGCAAGGCTCCGCAACGCAGTAAAACCCCAAGTACCTGAACCAGACTTTAAGCTTAGCTCTTCAAATTGAAAATCACTTACACTGCTCAGAACCACATTTTGAGCAGCCCAATTTCTAAATTATTTTCGCAATCCAGTTTTTTTTATTCTGAGTGTGGATTGGGGTTCCTTTTTGTATTACGACTCTAAGGGTCCTGCATTTTTAAAAAGAAAAAAGAGAACCTTGTACAAGCAATAAATGTAGGTATGTAAAGAATCCTTTGTCCTTTAAATGACCATTTGTGACCTTTTGTTTTAGGTTAGCACTGTGATTTAAACTAGCACTACAACTGCGAACCACTACCCAAACTTCTGAAGTCAGTTTTCTATTGTAACAATTCACTACTGCAGTGCTGCAAAGCAAAATTAAAACTACTCTTAAATGCAGGCCGAAATGCTCCTTATATGCTCTGAAAAGTGATCTGCGCCGCTCCTTACCAGCTACAAAATGCAGCTTTAGCACTGCCAGCGAAAGGTCTACTAAAGATAAAAGAAAGATGAGGGTTTTCTGTCGCAAAGCAACTAAGGCTGTGAGCGATGCACGAAAGACAACCCCCCCTAAAGGTTGTGAGTAAACAAGATATTTTGAATTAATGTACGAGGAGCGTGTTGGTTCGAGTCAGGAATATAGAAAAAATAAACATTTAAAACAGAGACAACACAACCATATCTTTCAAAGATGTGGCTGTGTTGTCCTTGGCTTAAATGCTTATTCTTTCTATATTACAGAAGATATTTGACATGAAAATTAAACCTATGGAAAGTGCCTACTCAGGATATTGAGATAATCTAAGGTACGAGAGCAAAGAATGCAGATGGAGCACAAGGTAGGGTCGACTTCATGGTGTGACGTACAGGATTTATACTTGACTTCTTCAGTATGGTGTTCTACGCGAGTGCATTATTGGGACTACATGCCTGACTGAGAAAAGCCAATGCTTCATTGCCCTCGGGGATGCGGCCGTGACCTGGCTTCAGTGCGGGCAGCACAGCAAATTCTGGCCTTGTCTTTGTGGCGAGCAGAGAGAGCGAAGCCCGAGCTCAATGCGACCCTCTCCAACTCCCCGAGGATAACGAGAGGCACTCGTCGAACTGGTTGCTTCGCTCTCTCTGCTCGCCCCATATACAAAGCCAGTGTTTTTACTCGCACACAACATCGCACTGAAGAAAAAGAGCACACATCCCGTACGTCACAACCGCATGTCAGGCAAGCTTCACCACCTTGCCCCAGTGTGCTCGGAGAAGCGGCTGATGTGGAGGGACATTTCGGTGAGCTTAGAAGTCTCAGGAGGGCACATATTGTGACAAAGGTGCATGCTCGGTATTTTACACTAGAGTTCTCATTGTCCAAAATATTTATAAAATATCTTGCTTTGACTGAATATCCTTCGATAAACATTGCATGAACTTTTCGACGAACGGTGCTTCGACCAACGACAAAGTACTTATAATTTCAACTTTAGAAGTTTGTATACGTTAATTTAAAGGCTAAGAGGTATTTTATTGTGGTATAATTAAGCATGAATTTGTAAAAGCATGTGCTTGCCTGTCAAGTGGTAGGCAACCACCTGCTTCCAGCGAGAGGAAAGTCCGGTTAGCATTATTACTAGGCCGTGTGTGGCAAATGTCAGTTCACTTGAGCATCCAGGTTTTGCAGGTGGTATGGTCACCAGACCGATTGGCTTCTTCACTGTTGGATCCAAGTCCAACCCAGCAGTGACCTGCATCTCATCCAGCAGAAGTGCACAGTGCTTTTCTTGTGGCCGCATGGTCTCCAGCTTGGACTTGAGCGCTGGAAGAAGCTCCTCCAGAATTCCTTAAAAACAGGAATGGAAGGCATATAGACAACCTTAGCATGCTATGATCAATCTGAGAGCGGTTACATGAGAGGAGCGACGGTGCACAAACCTGGCTCGAATTTGACCTCTTCGATGCGTCTCTGGAGTGTTCTTTCAGACGGCAAAGGTATTACCTCGTCCTTGAGGAGCTCATATCCTCTGGTTCCACATGCCAACCGTATCTGAAGAGCCTTTTGTACGGTCTTGTTACTCCACCTGTTTCCATGCGCGTTACGATTCTTTACACAGAGTACTTGATCAGGCGCAAGATTCCCCAGTTTGCTGCCTGTAAAACAAAATATACAAATAAATGGTTAAATCATTCTCCCCAACAATTAACCTTTGGGTTTAATAAAAAAGCTAGTTTGGAGACATTTATTTTAATTATTTATGTTATGTTTGCTACTAAAATAATCATTTCTAAACATTATCTAAAAATATGGCCGATCTCCCACATTTTTATTTTTATTGTTATTCAGGGTACTGTAGAATGTTCCCCCGGTAAGAGTGAGTATTTACTATCTTACACCTTTCTTTTTTTCTCTTACTTGTCGCGTCACATCTAGTTGTAATTTGTAGGTTAATTACATTTGCAATAGTATGCACGAAATTGATACAGTCAGTTTTTATTGTCAGGCTAAGAAGTATTCGGGCAAGGGCTGCTTTTTTCCCAGGAGAAATGAAAATAAGCGCCACCTGGTTTGTCTGAAGCTTAAGTCAATTACTATTAAAGCATTAAGCGTACACAAAACAATGTCGGTTAAACCTAGCGGCAGCACGCGACACCAATCGGTGCCCCAATACTTATCAACCCCGTGACGCAAATAAGTTGTGGCATGTCTGATCTTGTTACGTTACTGACTCGTGACATGACTGACCCGTGACACGACTAACATATTTCAAGCAAATGTGCGTTTTGCAACAAAAGTCTTAGTTCAAATTGAATGGCTTTAACACAGCAGGAAGGTATATTAGTATAGCTGATCCTCCTAGTTTTCATAGAGAAATTAAAGAAAAGAGGACATGCATTATTTGTGACACAAAAAAGGTATGCATTATTTCCTATTTTTTTTAAGCCCATAAAATTTTAAAATTCTGAAAAAAGAGGATATCACTTTGCTTTAACACTGTGTAAAGGAGGCATGAAAAGCAAGTGTAATTGGCATATTGAAAAAGTTGGGCAGAACTTTTAAAACTGTTTTATACCTTCATCGTGACACCACTGACATCTTGGTCGGTCACCAGTCATTTGTTGTTTCTCTTCGAAAAATTATAATTACTTTAGCAACACTTGACACTATAATTATTTCGTAGTTGATATCGACATGAATCTAAGTTTTTTTTAATCGGGCAGATAAAAGTTTAGTTTACTAGAACTAAAGTGAAAGACCTTGAAACTTTTCTGATACTTAATAGATACAGCCTTATTGTCGTAACTGCACATAGGAGGCATTCCAAACTTTATAGGTTCCGAAAAAGTATTGTTTAGAAATTCCCTGAAATATTTTTATATGGGCTCTCCAGCCCCATGTTCTTTTAACATAAGTCGTAAATGACGATAGGTAAAAAAAAAATGATAAGTTATACATCAGTCACACAAACGTTAACTCTCCGGGAGAATGACCCAGTCAGCGAGCTGGTACAAGTATAACAAATGAAGTAAAAGAATGACTTGAAACAAAAAACACACACACACACAAAACACAGTGTGAATTAGTTTCTACATTATCTTAATAACATAGGGTCACACAAATAAGCAATCTGGTTTAGTGTTTCTGCAAACATCTCTATTGCTTCACAGATACCTGTGGTGTTTCGGCCTTCAGGCCGAGAAGAAGAGAGTAATCCAGCCATGACCCAACGAAAGAATATCAAACTTTATCAGACGACACAATTATATACATGGGAACAACAGCGCCACATACATGGCGGCTTCCACTTGCTTGTCTATGCCCGGCCACCAAAACCGCTCTCGTAGTCGCGCCTTGGTGCGCACTATCCCGGGGTGGGCTTTGCGCACGGTGGAAATGACCTGTGAGGTAAGGAAAGGAGGAACTACGAGCCGTTCCCCACGCAAAAGCAGGTCGTCGACCACAGACAGTTTTTCGAAACGGCAAAGAATGGCTGAAGAGCATCCGGGTTGGACTTGTGGGAAGGCCAAGATGATGCCACGTAAGCCTTGACTTGTTCTAACGTAGCATCCTCACGCAGGGAGTGCTGGAACTGTTCCTTGGTGAGGCAGAGTGGCGCAACAAAAGACACGACCTCTTTGTTAAACGAAGCATCCCCATGCGAAACAGACACTGGAAGGCGGGACAATGCATCCGCGACTTGATTCTTTGAACCCTTGCGATATTCCACAGAGTAGTTGTAGCGCAGAAAACGCTCTGACCAGCGTGCGATGCGAAGGGGCCGTCGTCCTGAGCCTTGAGACGACAGAAGAGAGACCAAGGCCTGGTGGTCCGTACGAAGTGTGAAGTGCCGTCCCCATAGATATGTGTGCCAATGCTCGCATGCCCAGACGCACGCGAGCGCTTCTCGTTCACCGACTGAATACTTTCTCTCTGCTGGAGAGAGAGTGCGAGATGCGAAGGCGACTGTGCGTAGCTGGTGCCCATCCATTTGTTGAAGAACGGCGCCAAGGCCGCAGTCAGAAGCATCCGTGGAGACAACCACCGGAAGAGTGGGATCAAACATCTGAAGTACTTTACTGGACGACAAGAACTTGACCTTCCGAAAACTGGCGTCGACGGCATCACTCCAGATGAAGGGTTGATTCTTGCGGAGCAGTGCGCGCATTGGTTCCACGACTCCAGCAAGGCAGCGAAAGAACTTGGCGTAGTACTCGACTAGGCTGAGAAACGAACGCAGACCAGCGGCGTCTGTGGGGGCGGGAGTGTTCAGGATACAATGCACTTTCTCTGGCAGCGGTGAGATGCCTTGGGCAGTGACCTTGTGGCCCAAGAAAGACAACTCTTAGACGCAAAAGGTGCACTTGTCATAGAGTTTGAGTCCAGCTGCCTTGATGCGGCGGAGAACAACGGCCAGGTTCGTTAGGTGCTCTTGTTCGGTCTTGCCAAACACAATGATATCGTCAAACAGAACGCCGGAGCAATCTTTGAGAATCTGCGACATCAACTGCTGGAAGGCTGCGGGGGCGGACGCCAGCCCAAAGCATACCCGCTTGAAACGGAACAGTCCGTCGTGGGTCACGAATGCGGTCAAGTCTTGGCTCTCGGGATGCAGCAGAACCTGGTGGTAGGCGGATGCGAGATCGAGCTTGGAGAAGGTAGTGGCACCGGCGAGGCTGTTCAGGAGCTCTTCAGTGTGAGGAAGCGGGAAGCTGTCGGTGATGGCTGCTTTGTTAGGTTCCCGGAGGTCAACACAGAGTCGAATGCCACCGTCCTTCTTCCTTACCACGACTATGGTGGACATCCTGTTCTTCCAACCGACGGATCTCTTCCGAAACTTGTGGTCGGAGTGTCAGCGGGAGACGCCGAAGTTTCGATGCCACGGGAGGCACCGCGAGTCGGATCTTGATCCGATGGACGAAACCCTTGGCGAGACCAAGGCCTGGGGCAAAGAGGGAGCCGAACTCGCTAGACAGGGTCTTCGGAAGAGGGTTGGGTTGAGAAGCTTGGCCCAGGCTGGAGAGCTGGGGCGCGTCGAGTGTCATTGGCATGGTCAACGTCTCGAAACAATGCAGGGATGACCCTTCGATGTGCAGGTCCAAAGCCTTGATCGCATCAATTCCGAGGATGGATGTGCCTTTTGGCACAACATGGAACAGAAGGTATGTTGCGCGTCCCTTGAACGTGACTTCCGTGAAGAAGCAGCCACAGACTAGAATGAAGCGCTTAGAGTAATCGAGAAGTTTCACTCGCGGAGCGGAAAGAAGTGACTCGTCAGCAAAATGTTGCTGGAAAAGGTTCTCTTCCAGGATAGAAACAGACGACCCAGAGTCGTCAAGAAACTTGAAGGACTTGCCGGCGACGAAAACGTCAATGAAAATGCCGGCTCGAGCCGGACCGACGACAGAAAGAACGCTTAAAATCTCAGCATCATCGGACGAGTCCTGGCAGTCGACTTCACGAACGGCAACGGTGGAATGACGCTGTCGCTTGTTACAGACTGAGCGGAAGTGCCCTATGCGACCGCAGTGAAAACAGTGCTGACCTTGTGCTGGACAAGAGGATGACGAGGCGCGGTGCTGGCGGGAACCACAACAAAAACAGTGCGGTGACGCATTGTTCGAGGCGCGGGAGCGCTCAGGGGAAGCGGACTGGTGGTTACGGCGTGAGGGCCCAGCTGACCGAGAGGCACGCGGTGTCGTTGAGTCATGGCGCGACTGTCGACAGGGGCTTGCTTGCGGGGGAGGTAACCGACAGGGAGATGAGCGCGGCCGCGTTGAGTCCCTGGAATGCCGAACGCCTCGTGAAGTTACCTGCTGAACGTGCCCGGGAGCAAGTTCGCGAACTTGCTGAGCGGCCTGCTCCAGTTGTTGTGCCAGAAGCACGGCGCGCGAAAAGGAGAGCGATGAACCTTCTAGAAGCAGACGTTCACGAAGGTGTTGCGACGCGATGCCTTCTAAGAACTGGTCGCGGAAGGAGTCGTCAAGGGCGACGAAAGAACACGAAGCAGCAAGCTCTCGTAAAGCGGCGACGTATTCTTGTATGAGCTCGCCTGGTTGCTGGATACGGCGGCGGAAGCGATGGCGTTCCACGACGACATTGCTTGCCGAGGCAAAATGCTGCGTCAACGCAGCGACGCCCAACGGGGCGGGTTCGGAGACGTCGGATGGCAGAGCGTAGAAAATACGCTGACCTTCAATTCCCAGGCTGTGTAACAGGAGGGCCTTGCGTCGTTCGGGCTTGAAGTCAGATGCTCCGGATGCCAGAAGAAAGGTTTCAAACATACGAATCCATTGCGGCCATGGAACACTTGGGCGGCCCGGCGCAGGCAGAAACGGTGGCGGTGGAGCGAGGCCCGAGAAACTCGTGGCGTCGCCGGCGTGGCTACAGGCGAGGTAATGCCTTCAGAAAAACTAGAACAATCTAGAAGCCTCGTTGCCAATGTGGTGTTTCGGCCTTCAGGCCGAGAAGAAGAAGAGAGTCAACCAGCCATGACCCAACGAAAGAATATCAAACTTTATCAGACGACACAATTATATACATGGAAACAACAGTGCCACATACATTCACAAGGTTTACAGACAAGATATAGAAACCGAAACTAACGACACCACAATACCATTGCAAAAGCTTTTAATTTTTCTTACACACACTGTGCAACATCCAATGTGCTGGATGATAGAACTGGTTGCATTCGAAGGATAAAGTGCTAGCACACGAAACGAATGTGAATGTACTATGCCAATATGCTTACCAAGAACAGCCTCCAACTCCTTTTCCAGCTTTCTGATCCTCTTCTGAGCCAGATCTAGCTTGCGCAGCAATTCTGCAACACTAGCCTGATGAATACACCGATCGCCATTGCACGGTGCTTGCTGAAAATAAATGGGGGTTACAAAGAAATATCTTTAATAGTACTGCACTCAACAGCTAAATTTAAGGCTATATTTACCACGGTTTGCCCCAGGTATACTGCATATCTCTTTCCTTCATTTGGAGGATGCAAGAGTCAAAATATATTTATGCCGCATATCGACGAGGAAACAATACTTCTTGTCACTCCAAGAACCATAGTAAAATATTGACTCCTTGGAGTGTTATTAATGCTCTTCTTTATGGGGTAAATTAAAATAGTGGTATGTGCATTTCAGGTAAGTTGGTGGATTTTTTTAAAAGTACATAATTTGATTGAAAGTAGCATAGCGTTTTTCTGTTGCAACCACATCTTGCACAAACTACTTCGCCTACCGCATAAACTATGCACAAAACAAGCTTTCTTTCTGGACCTAACGAGGATAGTTTCTTGCAGACATTGAAACCGTTCACAACCATACTTGACTTTTCGAAAAAAAAAAAAAAGAAAGCTCAAATTAAAAGTTCAGAAACAAAGAGTTCCCAACGTTTCGGGGTCGACTCGACTCCTTCTTCAGGGGTGACTAAAAATGGAATGGGACAGCGCGAGCTTCGACCTCTCCTTCCTCTTCTACCGAGGTGATGTTTTGTGAACGTGACTCAGGCCATGGACGTAAATGGAGGGTAAGGCCCCGAGGGACCTGTTAATGTTCCCCGGTGTATTCTGGATATGCCACGACTCCAAGAGCAGGCGTCTTCGAATATGTGGCTCCGTGTCTATCACGTTTGCATTTCCGAAGTCAATCCGATGATCAAATACCTCACAATGTTCCGCGACGGCGCTACGCTCGCGATCGAAATTGCGCACATCGTTCTGGTGCTGGCGCATGCGTTCGGAAAAAGATTTAGTTTCACCGATGTAGGCGGCGGGGCACTCCGCACACGGTATCTTAGAGACCACGCCTTGTGCTTTCTCTTTTGGGAGGTGATCTTTTGGCCTTGGCATGAGCCGTCCTAATGTTGACACTGGCTTGTGCGCCACCTGGATCCCTTCTTTTCGGAGCACGCGCGCCAGCGTCTCGCTCGTCCCTTTTACATAGGGGACGCTGATGCGCGCGATGGGGCGGGGCTGTGTGTCACCCGACGATCCATGGTTATTGCGCGTGCAGCACTGTCGACGGGCGACGCGCAATAATCGTTTTCCTTCATACCTTTTCAAGAGCATGACTGGTGTCCAAGGGCTCGTGCTGGGGCTCATTTGTGAAGTAGACGCACTGCACAATACCTGCTGAAAAAAATTTGGTACGCCCTACAGATTTCTTCCTATAGAACATGTGAAACGCCTGAACAATAAACATTCAGACATTCAAACCTAACTAGGCAGGCAGGCTGGTTATAGTTCGATACAATACTGAAACCCGAGACAGATTTTAGTACAAAATTCTAAGAAACAGTTGTCGACAAGGCGCGAAACACAAAAAGCAGATGGAGGCAGACGACTCACTGAACCGTCGATTACAGTGCCATTTCGAACGTTGCGGCTAAACTAGTTTTCCGCTGTAGCTGCACAACTGTTCCTACATTCATTTGAACTCGGACTGAACTTTCCATACGTCTCAGTTCAGTTTGTATGTCGAACAAAAACTGAACAGTTTCTTACCTTCATCCATAGGCAATGCCAGGTCTTCTTCAGCTTTGGCACATTCGGAAGGCATCCCACGTCCTAGGTCCATGGTTGTACCTGATTATAATAATTACCCATTGTGTGCATCCTATATATGTTTAGCAACAACATTTCAAACTGAGGAATTCTGGTGGTGTTCCAGGTGTCCACAATATCTTCAAGCTCCACAATGGAGGCACCTATTGAAAGGTTCTTATTTCAGCTCCCATACGTAATAATGTGAAAAACAGTATGGTTTTCACTTTATCCACATTCTCCAACCGGTACTCACTTTTAGGCTCGGGCGAAGGTGGCATTTCGACTTCCACGGTGAGCAGCTCCACTGGAAGGCATTCCTCTGACATGACCTCAGGGAAGGTTGTCCTCTGCGTGGCTGTGGTTGCTGCAATTCAGAAATGGTGCCTTATTGATGAAAGGTGCTATACTTTGCACTACTTTAACTCATATGTGGAACTCCAAGGGCCACATATGAGTTCGAGTAGTAAGAGTATGTCACGGGTGGTGACCAAAAAAACAATAAATAAACAGGAGGAAATAAACGTTTAATGGGGCGAACTTGTGCCCCAAAAAAAAGGATAGAAACAAAATAACAGCGTCGCAGGTGTCGATGTCGGCGTGAAAGCAGAGTCAAGCTCTGGCGAAGAAATGACCCTGTAGAGCCACGCGGAGCGCCTTTTGTAGACTCACGGGCTTCGCAAACATTCGAACTAGAATGTTCGGCCTTCAAACATTCTAAACGAGAAGCTTCTCAAACATTGTAGAAACTATTATTACAATACAATAATAAAAGTTGCACGACCCTCAGAAATCAAATTTTGGGCCTCTGCGTGAGTCAGATGCATTGCCACTCGGCCATGCACACGGCAATATGTGGAGCTTCAAGGGCTAGTTTTTGTGATCCCTCTCATCTGCACATAATTGCCGAGTCTGAACAGAGCTTAAAAAATGACCAACAACGTTACAGAAAATTGATGTCGGACAAGAGCAAACTGTGCTGACACTTGACGAAGTGCCGTGAGCCACTCCATACTTCTCGAGATATGCGTCCGGATCATTAGAGTCTTTCAATAGCAGTTACCGCATCTTTTCGCCCTAAAGCGTTGATACCCTTAACAATTTTAAAAACCAAAAGTCCCCAATGTTGTTCTCTTTCCTTTTGGATTGTGTCTTAAAGGGATACTACAACGAAATTTCGGCGCTCATTTTTTGGTCTATATGTGTTCAAAAGAGCAGTATCACATGGAACATATCAATATCTTGTTAAAAAAGTCTCGAAAAGGAATTTTAAAACGAATTAAATGATTAGCAAAGAGCACCTGGTGGATGTCGCTAACGCCTCGTTTGTAATGCTCGTCTAGGAACCTTGACAGCTAGTGACGGAGGTTGTCTCGTCTCCGGCCACGACGAGAGAAGGGGGGAAGGAGGAACTCCCCTCTTCCCGAGAATCCCTTTTGTGTGTCGCAGAAGTCGCTATTGTCCCCCTAGAAGATTATAGAAGATTAACCCATCACTCAAAATTCGTACAAAAGCAGCCGCTTCGGTGGCTGGAACGACTAGGCCATCCTCTCGACGTCAGCCTCGCCGTAGCTTTGCTCGCCTTGAGACGACCTACGTCACGATTGCGTTGGATGTCACGTGCTCTAAGCTGGGCCTCCTCCGAGAGCTTGCCAGAGTGGGCCGTTTATAACGAAAAATACAGCCACCAGGATCAAAATACAAACGTGCGATTGTCATTTACGGATATTGTGGATCATATTCAACCTATTTTTGAACACGACGGGAATATTTCAAATTTCGTTGAAGTATCCCTTTAATGTGGTAACTGACTATCAGACTCAACCCCGTGCTCGAGCTGGAAAGCTCGGAGCTGTCTGAGCTTGTGTCACTAAATAAAGCACATGACTCTTGTCTCAACAAGAGATTTGCCGACCCGGCAATTCTCTTGTTGAGACGAGAGCCATGTGTGGACATGGCTGTCTCCCAAGATGAACACAACGACTGCACTTGTCCAGCATGCATCGCTCGCAGGCTGCGGGTGTGTGCACTCTATAGAAGCTCTCTAGGGATTAAGGGCCTGATTTCTAACTGTAGATCAGCATGAACTTTTTTCTCCATTTATATGGCATTGTAGGTGGCTTTTTTTTCTCCTATTCAGTACTTACTAGCTTCTTTGGGTGCAGCTTGGACTTGGGTTTCAGCTGCTAGCAGTTGCTCTGCATAGCACTGCACTGGCATGACCACAGGTTCAGTTTTCTTCTGCACTTCTGTTGTTGCTGCTGTGCTTGAAGTTGCTAGAAATGCAGAAATTATGCATCGTCAAAAAAACATAATGTGCATTCTTTAGCATCATATGGTGAATTCCGCTCGCAGATCTCGAGCGCTCCAAAAGCGCTCCATTTGGATCGCACATATTCCGCTTGCAGATCTGGCTCGAGTTGGTCATCCTCCGCTCGTAGATCTCTAGCAGCACCCGCTCCATGGAGCACCTCCATCCCCGCCGAAATTGCTCCGCAGGATTTCACAGATCTATCCGGAACTTGACAGAGTGCATACGACATTTCCTTCATAGCTCGACAGTGCGCATGTGCGGCAAGGTCGCCGGGGCCGACCAGTTGTGCTGATCGGGCTGTCGAGTTGCATCTGTTCGGATGCGTCGGTTGTTTACGCGGGATTGTGACGGCTCAAACGCTCCTACCTCGCGTAGATCAGGGATACAAAGCCGGGACTGGAGTGTGGTAAATTGTAAGCGCCGCCATCTGTGATCGTGAGAGCAAGAACTAGAAAACGAACGACAGAAAATCCGGAGGCAGACGCAGGGTTAGGCCCATTCATTCTGCAGCCGATGATTGTTTACCGTTTTACACTGCATGGCGCCCACGTTTTCTTCTCATGCAATAAAGCAAGAACAGATTAGGCAACGACCGTGCATGTGATGGTCTGTCACCTCTTTGTGTTTATTAAAGTCTTAGCAGCAATCTGAACTCCACCGATGGCGATCGCTGTGCGTGCCCCGCCACTTCGAGGCGGTTGAAAGGTGTGTGACAGTGGTGAACGCGGGCGTCTTACTCGTTATTTGTGACACAGGCTCCACGGTACGGACATTTTCGCCCGGCCTGTGTCGCGCAGCTGAACAGTGACAGTTGTCCCTGGTCGTCGGAAAGATCAGTCTGCTGAGGCGTTGGTGAGCTTGGCAACTTCGAGCAGAGGCCATTTTGAACGGCCGAGGGGGAAGCAGGGGGGGAAGCAGGGGGGAGGGGAGTGGGGGAGGTAGCTCCAAAAATGCGACTTTATCTTCTGCTCGTCGATTCGGAGCGGGTCCCACGGAGCGGAATTTTGCCTCCCTCGTGAATTTGGAAAGCACTCCGAATCGAGTGGAATTCACCAATAATAAGTGAGCTACGTACCTTGCAGCTGACCATTGCTTCGCTTCTTCAGGACTTTGCTCCTTGGCACTTTTTGTGCATTTCTCGGCGCTGGTATGCTAGGAACAGCATTCGGCTTGAGCAGTCTTCGACCGTCCGCCCTGTTTGCCTCAAATTGGCTCTGTTCGAAATGGTCCTATGAAAAAAAAATGAAAGCCGCTTACAACTCCCTGTAACGCCGAATTAGAGCGCAGCTCTTGAGGAGGAGGAGGGAAGGGCACTGGGGGGGGGGGTTAAACTAACCAGGGGGGGTCACGTTACCTTGGGGGTCACGTGACCCCCAATGCCGATGATGTCATCACTGACGTCACTGATTACGTCATCAGTGACGATGACGATGCGGGTACCGATGACGTCATTAGTGACGTCACTGATGACTTCACCAGTGATGATGACGATGCGAATGTCGGTGACGTCATCAGTGACGTCGCTGATGACGTCATCGGTGATGATGACGATGACGATGCGGATGCCGGTGACGACATCAGTGACGTCACTGATGACGTCATCAGTGATGATGACGATGACAATGCGGATGTCGGTGACGTCATCAGTGATGATGACGATGACGATGTGGATGCCGGTGACGTCATCAGTGATGATGACGATGACGATGTGGATGCCGGTGACGTCATCAGTGATGATGACGATGACGATGTGGATGCCGGTGACGTCATCAGTGATGATGACGATGACGATGCGGATGCCGGTGACGTCATCAGTGATGATGACGATGACGATGTGGATGCCGGTGACGTCATCAGTGATGATGACGATGACGATGTGGATGCCGGTGACGTCATCAGTGATGATGACGATGACGATGCGGATGCCGGTGACGTCATCAGTGATGACGATGACGATGTGGATGCCGGTGACGCCATCAGTGATGATGACGATGACGATGTGGATGCCGGTGACGTCATCAGTGATGATGACGATGACGATGTGGATGCCGGTGACGTCATTAGTGACGATGACGTCATCGGGGGGTCACGCGACATCGGCGGGGGTCACGTGACCTCGAGGAGGGGGCCACGTGACCTCAGGGGAATCACGTGACTTTGGGGGGTCACGTGACCCCCCACGAGGTCACGTGACCTTGGTGGGGGCTCGCGCGGTGCATTATGGGACATTTCCCATGATGCACCGCGCGGTTACGCCGACGCCGACGGCGACGGCGACGGCGACGGCGACGCCGACGGCGACGCCGCTCAAGCCGGAAACGGGCCCCTAAGAGCTGCGCTCTAAAATAGCAGATAAGGAAAAGGTTACCAAAACACAACAAAAATTGTCCCAGGATCATTTACTGGGAGGTATACAGCAGAGGTCGGCATTTTAGGTCGCCCTCACTCACCCTCACCCTCACGGCCACACTCACCTAAGCCCCTCACTCACCCTCACCCTCACAGCTACACTCCACCTTCGGCCCCTTACTCACCCTCACAGTCACACTCACCTTCAGCCCTTCACTCACCCTCACTGAACCTCACGGCCCTCACACACTCACCGCCCTCACGCCCCTCACGGCCCTCACTCACTCATGGCCCTCACGCCACTCACCGCCCTCACGCCACTCACGGCCCTCACGCACTCATAGCCCTCACGCCACTCACCGCCCTCACGG